ACTTTTATAGATTCTAGAATAAACAGCTATGTGAGACCACTTTCAACAAGGACGCTTTACAACATGTCTATATAGGGAAACGTTTTTGCTCCAGGTGAAGCACAATTCATGACTGATAATCCAAGCTAGCGGTGGTATTGCCATTATACACATGTTTAGTATGTTTGTCAATTTACCTTTTGCCATGGCTCCTGGACTTGTGATGCGCATGGCTGTGTGCGGCCAGATGATGTTTGATGCCTATATGGCACTTTGGCCTGGAAACAATGAATACAGTGACGTGATTGAGTTAATTTGCTGTACAATGGCATGGAATTAAAGCAATAGAAGGTACACAGTTGAATCCCTATTAAGCGTAGGGGGTTGAACTGTATTACAGAATCTTAATTTGCACATCACGATCAGGCGATCAAATGCGTCATTCTCATAACCTGCCTGCATGAAATAGTTGTAATGTAGTGTAGAAGAATTTAGGATTCAATCACTCTCACCTGCTGTTGTTGGGCCTGAGCTTGTGCGTACATTCGCTCAATGTTTTGCCTCAAACTGATATGCTCCTGCTTTAGTTGTTCATAGCGTTGAACAATTTGATCCCTCTCACGTGAAACATGATCACGGTCTGACATGGCCCTTACTTTCTCTTGTCTTTCAATCTTAAAGTCATTCTCATATCCTGCAAGCTGTGAACAAAATAAAATAATTAGCAACACATCTTAAATTCTACTTTGACCCCCTGACCCTTCACGTACAGGGAAATGATATGTGCAGGTCTCCACCAAGGGTACACATATATACTTATAAATGGTTCTTGAGGAATGGATGCTCCCATCTCTGAGGCAGATCTAGGGTGTTTTGGAGGGTTCGGTCAAACCCCCTAAATTAAAAAATTAAGACATCATAGCATGCTGACTTGGCCTCAGAATGCCAGGAATCCCATTTCTGATGACCTCAATTTTAAAAATTTTCCAGGGGAGGATGTCCCTGGAACCTCCTACAGCATTCCATATCTCGAA